TGCAGCCTGCCTCAAGTACAGTTAGCTGCTGGTGTTCTAGAAGTGTACATTAATGCTATGCAATGGTCCCTGCAAAGCCATTGCCTATCCTTATCAAGCCAAGCTATTATCCCTACGTGCCCCACTATTAAACCATTGAATTCTATTTTGTTTTGCTTTTTTTTTTACTGTCATGATTATATACACTAATTCTTCAGTCACCTTTAAATAAACACCACTATAAAACTGTTCCTGTGAAATAAGATTATTTTTATGCTCATGTTTTAGTTTTCTTTGTTAATGTATAGAGTTAATTTAATTCTATTATGTTTGTGTTCAGGGATCGCATTATGAGATTAGTATTTTATGTTGTATGTTTTTATAGACCAGCAAAAAATGAGTAATATTCCTTTGTGCTCGTTAAGAATCTCGCACAGGTCATCTAGCATCCTATGATGGAATAAAGCATTTACTTGCAGCCATGTGCCCTCTAGTGGTATAAACCACAACAGCATCATATACTCCAATAATCCAGTCTGAATGTTACTGGGTTTTGTTTTTTGTTTTCTATTAAGCCATTTGTTTAGGTTTTAACCGGAAAACTGGGTCATCTTTACTATAACTTTAATGTCATATTCTACTCACCACTTTTCCTTGAACACCAACTGGTCCAACCTGTCCTCTTTCACCACGATCCCCCTATGATAAAGAACAAAAATTACAAAGAATTTGTATATGATTAAAACTTACATTTCAGCATATTAGTTAGTGCTCCATACATTCACAGTAAAATGCTAGAAAGCACAGCTCAACTTCTTGACTTTATCATTGTGAGTATGTTATAGAGTCAAATGTAAAACATACTTACTTTTATGCCTACAATACCCCTGGGGCCAATTTCTCCGGGTGGACCTCTCTCTCCCTGAAAGACAACAATATTACTTACTGAAAAATAAAAATACCATCTGAAAACAGCATAGGGACATGCTTGTATGTTTCACTTGTTTTCTGTTTTAGGAACGTTATATGTTGTAGTAGTGCTGCAGTTGATATAACACAGGTAATTATAGTTAAGCAAGTAATCTAATCTATTCAAATTGAAATATAGTCACACTGAAAGTTTTTTTCTACAGTGTTTTACAGTAGAACAATAACAAATATAACCATATGGAAGTTACTTAAAATTATATAAAAGAAAAAGGTTTTTAAGCTATTTCAAATACCGATTAAATCACTTACAACGGACGCTTACAATAGTTTCCTGCAGAATCATCTCCTGATATTCTGTTATATAATGGGTCCTTTCCCTTTGAGGGTCCTATAGAGCCACCCTTGTATGTACTCATAAGCTGTGTGTGTCTCCATAAACAGGCAGGCACTGCAGAACAAGCAGCTCCCCTCCTCCCTACTCCTCCTTCCTCCCTTATCCAACTGTTGGAGACTATGCTATCTCTTGTGATGTTGTACTGAACAAGACGTTCAGGGAAGCAGAGCTGAGAGAGTTGGAGTCAACTGTTTGGAAACATTACGACTGTAAGTGTTTGGACAAAAATTTTAAGAAATACTTTGCTGGGCAATGTACATTTGATCTGGATTCATTATTGAAAAAGAATGAGAGTTTAATAGTACTTTAAAGACCAACTCCATCTACAACACCGAGTGCCAGTAGGTTGAGTCCCCTGCTAGGTTAGCTTCTCATATCTCTGGAGTTACTAAAGGTAACATTTTCTCACAATAGTTTGTATGTCTAGTCCCTCTCACAAGACCAAAATAAAGGGGTCACTCTTACAGCCAGATTCCCCAATAGTTTTTTCTGTTATGAAGAATCCAGTGGAGGAGCAAGACACAATTTTCATGTCAGCATGTGAGTTAACTTTCAAGCGCCCTTTCAAAAATGAAATATTGATTTTGGATGTGGACGGTCTTTAAGCTGTTTTGCTGCACTAAAGGTGGTACAACAAATGTAGTTGAGTGCAATGAAATAATTATAAGAACATTTTTGTGAAGTACTTACCTGTTTTCCTGGAGCTCCAGAGAATCCAGGCTCTCCACGTGAACCTGGTTCACCCTAAAAGAAAATCACTGTATAATTATTTAATATTGATGGCTCATATATACAAGTATGTTGTCATATATTACATGCATTTTAAATATGTGTCTTAGGGCCCATTCACAGATATACATAGGTATGCATATGCACATGCATAGGTATGAGTGGGCCCATGGATGTGAACCAACCACATAGAAAAGAATGGGATTACTACTTGAAATTCATTTTCACAAAGTAAAATGTATATACTTTACTGCTGGAATAAGGAAAATGTAAATTGACTACTCAGTTTGACAGAGCAGTCCCAGTTCTAAAGTCAATGATAGGTGTAAGATGGGTTACAGGATCAAATTAAATTGAGTATGTTAATAGGAATGTTTCTAGAAATGTTTTGGAAGTTATTTCCTTTTTATGTAAACTCTTTAAATAAAAAATAAATGTATTATTAACATGTCTTGACAGGTTATAAAAATGTATTTAGCATTCTGTTTTACACCATTCAAAAGTGTATGTAAAGTCAAGTTTTTGTTTTTTTTGTTTTAGATAGAGAAGTGTAGGATTAGAACATCCTCTCTGTTGGCTCTGGTGACTCTTGTCATCTAGACAAAGATTCAAAGTCAAAGAGTTAAAGAGTCAAGACAAAGAGGGATGGGAAATCAAAAATTTTAGAGCTGTCACCGGAACAAAAAGAAGAGGATACATCTTCCAATGGGGACATCTGTGGCAGTGACAAGTACGGTCCTAACTAGAAATCACAGGGCCTCATAGCAACATTTGTATGGGGGCCCCCTTGCCAGACAGAAAGGAAAAGCCATTTAAAAACACACCAGCTTACATTGGTGGTCAGTAGGAAGAAGAATACCCCCTTGCATTGGCAGTCAGTGGGCAGAAGAATGTCCACCTACATTTTAGTTGGTAGAAGTAAAAATATGTAAGGGGGTATTTTCTTTCTATCAACAAAGTGGAGGGGGTGAGTATTCTTCTGACCACCAATGTAAGTGGGCTTTCTTCAGCCCACTGACTACCAATGTAAGGAGGTATTCTTCTTTTCACTGACTACCAACTTAAGGAGGTTTGTGTTAAGTCAGATAAAAAGGTGCCCTTTATGCATTGGCATTCAGCAGGACTTAGGATTAAAGTGTCCTCTTGCACTGGTGACAGTAGGAAATAGGTTGTATTACTGTCAGTGGGAATTCCACTGACAACCCTTCTTGACATTCTGTATCATTTCAGTCAGACTAAGAAACATAGTTCTCTGCAGGGCCACAGTCAATATTACTAACACACATGCTAAAGCTGATTTTACTGTAGTGATCCTGATGCTGGTGACAAATTACCAGTGACAGGATGATTATGCACAGCAGAGTAAATACTCACCTGGCTCCATGCATCATTACCTCACTGGCCACATTAGCGACAAGTGACATTCTACATAATTTCACATCTTAAATGCACACACACACACACACACATTAAACACACACACACACATTAAACATACACACACACACATTAAACATACACATATACACACAAACTAACACCTTATATGCACATACACACATTAAACACACATACACTAATACACATTAAACTCATATATACACTTGCTAACACATTAAAAAAGAATTCCAGAGGAAAGTTTTATTAACCCCTGCAGTGGGGCTACCCCCGCACTACAAGGGTTAACTGCTCGTTTGTGTCTGTGCATAAAAAAAAAATTATACTTAACCGAACTACAGAGCCAACTCCCTTCTTCTCCAGTCACTGAAGAGTGTCTCTTCCTCTGCTGCACAGATGGAATGTTCCTCAGTGTCCTCACATCTATACACTTGTATGAAGCGTGATGAAACAAGGATTCTTAGACCGCTGCAGAGGAGGAGGAGAGAGACTCTAGGGACCCGGTCTAAGAACAAGCCGGCTGGAATGATCAGGTGAGTATACATTTTTTTTTAGCACCTAGAAATAAATGAGCAGTTAACCCTTGCAGTGCAGGGGCAGCCACACTACAAGGGTTAATACAATTTTTCCACGGAGTTCTTCTTTAAATATATATTAGGGATGCACTGATACTAGTATCAGTGTTGATAATGAGTATTTGGGAGAATACTCTTACTCGCCCAAATGCTCCTGATGCCTATCTCATTGCTGGAACTTCCGGTATTAGTAAGCTGGGTAGCGAGTCATTACACGCTGTCTGGCTTCCTGGTTGGTCGGGAAGCCGGCTCCATGCTCCCTCATCACCAGGGAGCATGGAGCTGGCTTCCTGGTCATTTAGGAAGCCCGGGGGTGGGTAATGACTCACCGCCGGGCTTCCTGATAAATATATTTTAGGGATACACCAATACTAGTATCTATATCGAGGCCAATACCGAGTATTTGGCCGAGTACTCATACTTGCCCAAATGCTCCCCATGCCTATCCTGGGCGGTAAGTCATTACAATCTCCCCCGGCTTTCTGATTGACCCGAAACACAGCTCCATGCATGGAGCATGGAGCCGGATTCCCGACTAATCGGAAATCCTCGGTACCGAGGCATTACACGCCGTCTGGCTCCTTTTCTAATCAGGAAGCCGGGGGGGTGAGTCATTAGACTTCCGGTGACTATTGAAAACAAATATTGGTACTCATACTTGATACTGAAAAAACGGTATTGGTGCATCCCTAATATATATATATTTAATGTGTTAGTATATACACTGATCAACCATAACATTATGACCACTTCAAAGTGAAGTGAATAACATTGATTATCTCATTACATTGGGAATTGGAAGTGGGTTGGATCTATTAGGCAGCAAGGGAACATCTAGATGACTGGGTCAGAACAACGCCAAAACTGCATACTCTTGTATGATGTTCCCAGTCTGCAGTGGTCAAGACATACCAAAATTGGTCCAAGGATAGAAAAAAGGTGAACTGGAGACAGGGTCATGGGCGGACAAGGCTCATTAGTGCACATGGGGAGTGAAGGCTAGACCGTTTAGTCTGATCCAATAGAAGAGCTACTGTAGCTCAAATTGCTGTTAAAGTTAATGCTGGTTCCAATAGAAAGGTGTTTGTACACACAGTGCATCCCAGTTTGTTGCATATAGGGTTGCGTAGCCACAGACGGGTCAGGGTGCCCATGCTGACCCATGTCCACCACGAAAAGTGTCTACAATGGGCAAGTGAGCATCAGAACTGGACCACAGAGAAATGGAAGGAGGTGGCCTGGTCTGATGAATCACATTTTTTTTTACTTCATGTGGATAACCAGGTGCATGTGTGTCACTTACCTGCAGAAGAAATGGCACCACGATGCACTATGAGAAGAAGGCAAGCCGGCAGAGGCCGTGTGATGCTTTAGGCAGTGTTCTGCTGGGAAAACTTGGTTCTGCCATTCATAAGAATGTTATTTTGACACATACCACCTTCCTGAACATTGTTGCTGAGTGCAAGTTGCTGTTGCAAGTACACTCCTACATTGAAACGATATTCCCTGTTGGCAGTGGTTTCTTTTTGCAGAATAATATGCCCTGCCACACTGCAAAAATGAATCAATAATGGTTTGAGGAACACAACAAGTTTAAGGTGTTGACTGAGGTGGCCTGCAAATTCTTCAGATCTCAATACAATTGAGCATCTGTAGGATGTGCTGGAAAAACAAAACTCCAATCCATGGATGCCCCGCCTCGCAATATACAGGATTTAAAGGATCCACTACTGACGGGTTGGTGCCAGATACCACAACATTCCTTTAGAGGTCTATTGGAGTCCATTTCTCAACAGGCTGTTTTGGTGGCAAAAGTGGGACCTACTCAAAATTAGGTGGATGGTCATAATGTTATAGCTGATTGGTCCCTAATATATCCCACCCACTTCCAGGTGCTATTGTAATGAGATAATCAAAGTTATTCACTTCACCTGTCGGTAGTCAAAACATTATGGCTGATAGGTGTGTGTTATATACACACTCTCTCACCTACCTAAAGTAGATATAGGGGAAACTTAATATGAACTGGTCAGACATGTCCTGGCTGCTGTGGAACTAATATATATGGGTAGTCACGGAAGACAGAAACAGGATAAACATTCCTCCTGGTCCTGAGTAGGCACCTCCTCTACCCTGGACCCCAAAGCACTACTATGGTTGTAGAAGAAGGTGAAAGAAAATCTCCGGAATGCGATGCAGACAGCAAACAATAATCTGATAGGGTTTAACCATTCCCTACTCTATACAAAAAAAAGTTTTGGCTATACATATACTTTAACCTAATTTCTGAGGAGACACAAGGTATATATATATATAAATAACATGTTTATTTTGCACTTAAAAGGGAACAATTGTTGCTTTAATGTGTTTAACTCCACAAGAAAAGAGATCATCTTAATGTAATTATCACTGTGTTAAAGTGTTAGAAAAACATTTTTGTATGTAATATTTGTAGTATTAGATGTACACGTTGGTATACATCTAATACATCTAATATGTTTTCTCATTGCCAGAAAACAATGCAAAGCACTGAACCCTCTGAATCAGAGTAACAGCCAGACAACTAAACTTTCCAAAGGGAAATGGTGACCTACCCATTTTGTCTCTATGTTCCTTTTAAATGACTACAAAGTTACTGTGGGATTTGATATGTGTGAAGTCATAATCAATAAAATCCAATAATGAAACTGGATGAGAGAAAATGAAAGCATCTGGATGACCTGATTTTTTTTCATTAGCTCCTTAGATTGTAACATGCGTGTCAAGATTGTACAAAATGTTCTTTAAAGCAGTCAGGGGGACTGTTAAATCAGAACATTTGTTTGTAAGGAAAGAAACCCTGCAATCCCTTGTTTACAACCATCAACCTATTAGCACTTTGTTTCTTACACTGTTTAATGAATATTTACAAAGCTTGAGACTTGGTGTGGTAGAAACAATTTCACACTTCCCTTCAAGCAGCATTAAAGTTATAAACACCTCTGAGAATACCTCTAATTACATTCAGAACTACCAGAAAAAGCTATTATTACTAGCATTAGGATAACTATATAGTCAAGTTAAATAACCCCACCAATGCATACCTTTTGACCAATACCTCCTTTGGTGCCTGGTTGTCCTGGTAACCCCTGAAAAAGAATAAGAAAGTCAGGATTTGTAGATGACACAGGAATTCGTTTTCTAATAAATGCATAATCTCATTAATGCATCAGCGAGTACTGGGAAAAGATTCCATTTGTGGACAAAAGCTATTTTCAACAGGAATAGGTGATTAAAGAAATACTCCACTAAGCTTTTGTGTACTTAAACTGAATACAGAACATGTAACAAAGGATTCTCATTGTTTAGTTTAGGAGATCAACTATCTGCATTTTCTCCAAGCCCTAAAACTGCAACAAAATTGTTAAAAGGTTAGATATACGTTTCTACTTTAATAGTATGCACATTCTATATGTAAGATATTGTAAGACGTTTCACAGCAATTGTATTTTTTTGGATTGGAACAACTGCCATAAATTATGCACAGTCAGGATATACAGTAAAATGCCTGGGAATCTGTGGCATGCCACTCACAGTATATAGTGTGTCATAACAGGACAATTTACAGATTTACCCAACATGGTTAAAATACTGAAGTATACCTATTTAAATTATCACCTAAAATGAATGTTAATGTAGTTCACCTTGAAAGAATACTTATACATTACAGCTTTGATTGTACATTCAAATGCTGTCCTCTGTTTTTCATAATTATTCTTACTGAATTTGCTTCTACTGTGGGCTACCCCTCTCCATCCTGCTTAGATGGCAGGACAGACCGACCATTGGATGTGCAGCCCAAGTCCATTACGAACGAGAACTTGGCTATGAGATCTTAGCTTGCCTAACCTCGCATGTGCAGTCTACTCTGTCACTCACAAAACACTGAGCTCATCCGCTGCATGTCCATTATCACAATGCCTCTTCCCCACTGGATTTAGAAATAACAATACACAAAGCAAATTGCTGCAACTTTAGGCTTATCTAGCAGTAAGAAGAAGAGTGGGATTTCAAGGCCTAACAGATTCCTCCATCTACGCTGAACAGTGTGGATGAAGGGAATCCCCTGCCAGACTTTGGTATTGTATTGCACACCCACCGGCGTCAGAATACCCAAACATTGACTGTAGCTGATTGGCTCTAGTCACTATTCAGCCGACAATTTTACACCCAGCTCCTTTGATTCTCTGATCAAAGGATGTCAGGCAAAAGGCTTCTAATAGTGCCACCAACCGATCAAATTTTTATACAGTTTATCAAGAATCGACCACAATTCGCTCTGTGTATGGCCAGTATTAAACTGGTAACTGATCAAAATCACCAGTACCTATCCATAACCAAATATTAGAATTGGGTTAACTTTTTACCAATTAGAGTCATTTGAGAGGACTTGACCTGAGAAAAGTTGAAACGAGATTTATAACTAAGCAGTAAAGTCATGTCATATACTTACAGCTAAGCCTTGATGACCAGTTGAACCAGGGATGCCATTTTGCCCAGGGCTGCCCTAGACAAGACAGAAACATGAATTGGGAAGCAAAATATGGAAATAAGCATGCTATATGCCACAGAACAGGAGAACTAATGAGGTACCTACCTTTACTCCATTAACACCAGGAGTTCCATCTTTTCCATCAATACCAGGGAGACCCTAAATGAAAACAATACATTGAGACTGCATAAAGGAAATTAAAGGAAATTATGCGTTTTCAAAATTCTGATGATGAAGATGGGCATGGGTACATATTACTACTAATCACCATTTAGTCTGTAATTTGCTAAACTGGAAATGTGAATATTAATGAGTAGTCTAGCCTATTCACACAATGAAACTATTTAATGGTGAATAATTCTCGGCTCTGAAAAAAATACATTACTCACACTGAATGAAAACTAAAACATTAGTTCAGATGGGAAACAGTGATAATTATATATTGTCAAAGTTCAAAGAAACACTAAAACATGGCCTGCAAACCAAGCAATTACTATAATTCTCTGTAGAACACAAATAAGAGAAAATCATTTTACACAGCAAGTGATGGCATCTAAAGCAGATATGGAAAGATCTAGCTTCTGCTTGTTAGCAGCCCTGTAGGCAGCTCAGGCCATTTATTTTAACAGAGTGCGTCAATGATCAAGTAGACAGGAAAATTATGTACAAAAAGCTTCCTGTGATAATATGTTAATCATTTCAGGACCAGCAGGTCTAGTTTTATATTAGGAACTGTCCCAAACTTTATGGGTGGCTGTGGACAATCCACAGTAAAAATTAGGAATGAAAAAAATATTTGAAAACAGGCAATGTTGCACCTCTTATCTGTAAATAAATGAAATTGTTAACAGAACCAAGTAACTGTGAGAGACAGAAGAGGACATCTATGGTATTTTAGAGCCTCCTCCGACTCGTGAATAAGAAAAGTTGACAGATCCTTGGTTCCATCATTCATTGAAGAGTTACTTTCTTTTGAGTAACATTCATTAAAAATTGTAATTGTTATTTTTCATTGCAGCTATAAATGTATCCACGTTTCCCATCTCCTTCTAGCCCTTGCCTACTTTGGCTTTGTTTTCTGTTTCTTGTGCCTCTTACCTTTTGTTTAATAGCTATTGCTGTACAAATCAATAAATGTATTTGTGTGTATCGTTGAAAAATTAAAACTTACATTGTTTCCCTTAGGACCCATTGCTCCCATTTGTCCAATGACACCTCGGGACCCCTGAAACAATATTGTGTTGGTTAGATAGGGGAAAATGAATTATGCATTGTATATTTTAATGTTGGCTCAACAGGAGATACACATTTTATGTATGTCAAATCTTTAAAAACTAATGTTATTTTTCCCTATGTATAAAAGTATGTTTCTTTGTATCAGTGTGCTAGAAGCATTTATAATAGAGTTTATGTGCAAAGGTATACATTGAGATCTATGGAGACTGTGAAAATACGTTGGTGCTTGTAAGGCAATAGCGTTTTCTCCAGTAATTTAAACACAGCTATACTCCCTGCATGTTTCAGTAAACCCCAACTAACTACAGTTCTGTCTAACAGTGGCATGGCAATATATATTAGAGATCTTAGTAATGACTGGACACTTATGGATACCTGGGATTCACTGTGAGCCCCCTTGATGATATTGTATTACTTTTTGTCCCCTGCCAGCTGCCAGAATGCACTCAGTGGTTTGGATACTCAATTATGAAAGCCTCTACTGCGCCTTTATAGCTTTATGCATTTCTTCATTAAAAGGCATTGATATTTATAATATTATTATTCATGATTAATATAGGGTAAATGTAAAAAGTAATAATGTCTAGTCCACACATAAGTCAGTAAAGCAGTGCAACTGCGATCAGTGGATTCTAGGTGGAATGCTTTGGCTCCTGCAGATTATTCCTCCCATCAATGTCTGTACTGAGGTACAGACATTTCGAAACGGAGAAAAAAATGAATGCACTACAAGTGGAGTACAAGTGGACTATAAGTGCGGTGACATCACTGCGAGAGGAAGGTGGGGAATTAATTATGTGATAGCCTTTAAGGGTTAGGGCTAGGCTTAGGGTAAGCATGGTACATTGTCTCCCCTCATATGAATGGACTTGACTCTGTTACTTAAATGAACATAGGGAAAGGTCTTTTGACATTATTGCAATGAGGTTCCTGAAAGAACTAAGCCCTTAAATACATTAGAAGCTAGTCTACCTAGGAAAATGTAAGTTAGATGCGCTGACACGAACTGAATAGTATGCATGTACATATTATGGAGTGTGTGTATATGAACACAGTATATGTAGAACACATTTGCACTCATGAGGGTATGTAGAAATATATGCAAATAGAATTCTTCCAGTTTATCTTACCATAAACACATTTCATTTTTATAGAACTCTATACAGAACAAGAATATTTTTTGTTTGTGTCATATTTAATAATGATATTTAAATATTAAAGAGGGAAAAAAATTACTCACTTTATCTCCTTTTTCTCCCGGCTCTCCAGGGGGCCCTTTTGGCCCCTCCTCACCCTGAAACAGACATGAAGAAGTGAAAGCGCTGCAAGGCTGTGCTCATTAGTGATAATAACCACCCTAAGTGCAGTTTAATTAAATGCTCCTGGACTCTCGGGTATTCTTTAATGAGGACTGAAAAATCTGCACTAAGACGTTGGGGAATTTCACCTCTATCACTTCTAACTGCACAAAATATAATGCTGTGCAGAGGAACTCACCTCTGGATAGGGTCACAGGGTATAATAAAATGAACACATTACAAAAACAAATTGGTAAAGTCCAAGACAGCGCTATTTACATTAAACCAAAAGAAAACAAAAACAAGTGTAAATAAAGTATAAGTCATTGTACCTAACAATATTTTGTTGTGCAAGGACGTACACTTTATTAACACTTGTTTTTGTCTTTGTGACATAGCTGCTATTTTGTAGCTGTTGTTTTTTTGAAAGATTTTAGAGTTTTGGGTAGAGCAGAGTTCACTTCGAGAAAAGTAATTCATTTACAGAGTATAAGTCAGACACACCAAATCTACTACAGCAAAACTACTGTGCCACTCAGTGGCTGATAGATTGTCAAACTAGATGGATTTAGGTTCCTAAGACAGTTTGAGCAGCAAACATTGATAAACCTACTGTATGTATTCTTTTAGATTATGCTATAAATACACATTTCCTATGTGACAAAGAAAATGTATAGTTTTATATAAACTTACAGGTTTGCCTGCTGCACCCACTGATCCAATCATCCCTTTATATCCTGTTGGTCCCTGTGGAATTCAGAGAAGATATCATTTAGAATACCAGTTAAAATAGGAGCACCAAAAAGTACATTTTCCTACAATGCTTACATGGTTTACCTGGGATCTTCCAGTTTTTGATATATTTCTACAGACACAGTAGATGGTAAGCATCAAAACGGATTAGAATAAGCAAGTGTATTGCAAAAGTTAATATCTTATTGTAATGCTTAACACACACAGACTCTCTCTTTCTCTGTTGAATGATAATATCAAATAAAAAAATGGGATATCAAACACATAGCTGATATATAACTATATAGAGGCCTTTCTGTGACCCAGGGTCATAACGTTTCATTGTCCCTCCTTTTGTACAAGCTCCTCCTGTTGTGCTTACTTTAGTAAGAACTGCTGATAAACTGCCCAGACCATCAAACAAGAGATGATGGTTTGATGTCTTCTGGACTATTAAAAGCTTTCCGAGTCCTCTTAATATCCACTGTGCCCCCTTTCTCCTACAATTCTCTTGCTAAGTTTAGCTATAAATGTCCAGATGTAGTGTGAAGAAGGAAACAGAATAAGAATAAAGTCATCACAGTTGAAAATGTAAGACTTGGTGCAGCCTAATCCCCATTGTTTACAACTTGGGACTTGGGATGCATTGTCTTTAAGGATTACGCACACACATACCCCCTATTGAATGATAATATCTAGTGTGCTAAATAACAAAATCTTTTAAGCGGACCATAGGATTACAAAGATCCATTTCAAATGTCCAATGTTTACATATACTTACAGTTTCTCCTTTGGATCCAGCGAGCCCTGGGTAACCACGAATTCCCAAAGGGCCCTGTATCACAAATAATAATATAATTAACAGTTATCTAATCACTTTAGAATAGTAAAAGTGAAAACAACTTTGTCATAAGCAGAAGATAATAAACACTATAAGCTGCAATAAACAAGCGGTCTGTTTTTTTTTACAAATGACCAGTGATGGCGCCTTGTGGACTAGATTAGAAAAAAGAACCATGAACCTTATGATTGCATTCTAAGAACAGATTAGTTGTGATATATGGTTTTAATAGTTTATTTGGGTATCTTGGGCCTAGGCTATTCAGTAGCTAATTGCCAAAAGACACATCTTTATTTTTTTCTACATATTTGCAGCCACTGTATATGGATATGGAAGAGCTGTGGTAATGACTGAAAGGACTAGTTATTATTAGTCTAGCAGTAGCATTCTGCACTAACTGTAATGGCTGCAGGTAATATTTAGTAATTATACAGTAAAGCAGTTCTGCTAAGTGAATAGAGTTCATTTGATATTGTTATCCTGTTATTCAGTTTATCTTTTTCCAGGGCTTATTGCTAGTTTAATAAAGCCCATCCAAAAGTATAAACGGTGTATTGGTGTTACTTGGGTCCAGGTGAGGGTGAGTCATCACTGGTGTGGGACAGAAGGCCCGTATATTACAGCGGCCCTTGCGGGGGTAGCGCTACAAGTGTTTAATTCTTGCTATCTTCCTCGGGTGCAAGAATAAAGATGTAACCACAGCTGCTACGTGAGAATTATGTGTTACAATTACATTAAGAGCCATTCCAAGATTATGCTTAGAGTCTGGGTAATACAAGATATTACCAGCTACAAACAGGCTAATTCTGCAGGCCTTTTTATAGATGTGGGCCACCCACAAACAAATCCTCAGTTTTCAAAGATGTAAAGTCTTACAACAAAAACAGCATATGATCAATCTATATGTCGAGGCATAATATATAAACACACATATATATATATTTACACTTTGGGGGAAAAAGGTGCACACTTTTTATAAACTTCATTTTCCATGCTTCCACAAGTCACCCCATATACTGTATACAGCACATCTATTTTTCTTGGCAGATAGCAAATTGTTTTGTGTGGGGTCAGTGGAGTCTGCATGGAGCCCTGTTCTCATTCCAATGCAAATGACAGAGAAGAGAATGATCCTTTTTAACATTATATATTAAATTTAGTTATCCACACTCTTGTTATCTCTCGTCTTGACTATTGCAACTCCCTCCTCATTGGCTTACCTCTACACAGGCTATCCCCCCTTCAGTCTATCATGAATGCTGCTGCTAGACTCATTCACCAAACCAACCGCTCAGTGTCTGCAACCCCCCTCTGTCAATCCCTACACTGGCTTCCAATAGCCCAAAGGATAAAATTAAAAATATTAACAACCACTTACAAAGCCATCCACAACTCTGCCCCCGGCTATATCTCAAACCTTGTCTCAAAGTATCACCCTAACCGTCCCCTCCGCTCTTCAAAAGATCTTCTGCTTTCCAGCTCCCTCGTCAACTCCTCCCATGCTCACCTCCAGGACTTCACTAGAGTCTCTCCCATCCTCTGGAACTCTTTACCCCAACCTGTCCGTCTATCTCTCATCTCTTCACGGAAGCCTATCCCACCTCAACCTAACCACTCAACCATCACGTTCCCAAACAATTCATCCCAACACAGCTACCTCCTCATGTATCACTTCCACCTCCCTTTTAGATTGTAAGCCCTCATGGGCTGGGCCATCCTTACTATCTTGTCTTGAATTGTATTGTGATTGTAATGTCTTCCTTATATTGTAAAGCGCTGCGCAAACTGTTGGCACTATATAAATCCTGTATAATAATAATAATAATGAAGAAAAATATACTATTTCCCCAATATCTTTTTTACTGTAACATTGTGTACAAAAATGGGATATCAAACAAATAGCTACAGCTCATATATGACTACATAGAAAATTCCTAAGGCATACAAGTGGCCTTTCTGAGGCCAATGCTTATGAAGTTTCATTGTCCTATCTTTTTCACAAGTACCACATGTTGTGTCACATGCTGATAGAAAATAAGACTTGGTGCTGCCTATCCCTATTATGTACTACTGTACTGGAAGACGGGGCACCAGAGGAATATGATGCCCGCGTAACCTGTAGCCTACTGTATACAGATATCCCTCCTTAGCACAGTAAGGCTATGCTGACATTTATTCCAAAGAATAGGTGGCTATACATTACCGTAGGTCCTGGAATTCCTTGTTCCCCTGAAATGCCTACATCTCCTTTTGTGCCCTGTAATTAGAAAAAAAAGGTTTAATTGAATTAGAATATATAATTTAATATTACTGAAAACATATAACTGCTTGGTTTTTTTTTTCATATTCCACAGGTATGAAAATAATGCTGTTGCAAAATAGAAACAACCTATGAAAAAATAAAATAAGAATTTATCATGATGGTGTAAAAAAACAAAAACTTGTATTTAATGTCCAGGGAAATTCTGTATATTTTTTAGTGGAGAGGGAGAGATCCTAGCTGCAAGGTTTTATCTTACTTTGATTTTGATTTTCTCCTTGGTTGTCTTAAAAGTGTTTGGGCATAATGCAGCTGACTGTGCCCTTTTGACATAAAGGTGCAGGGGGAGGCTGATTTCCATGACAGCAGTGTTTAGGCAATACTGCTTTTTCACTTAATTACAGTTAAATGCTTATGATGGCCAGACGGGTGTCAAGATGTTCAGCTCCCAGACTCTTCACATTGAGCTGGTAGTTAGTAATAGCCTGGTCACAGCAACTTATACAGAGTATACTAAAATGCACAATTATGTGTGTCCTTCAGTCTAAGTTTACATATGAGCACCCTTATGAATGCATGTGCAGATAAACACATTGACTGGCTCTTTGGCATTGTAGTCATACCTAAGTGCTCAGCATATGGGTATAAAGCCATTGGGTGGCTTGAGTTAAGCACAATCTTATAGTGTGTTCTAAGAACTTTTTATCAACAAAATGAGTTTGTGAAGAGAGCAAAACTAGCCTGTTATGAGAACGTCCGTATAAAACTGGGTTGTTTTGGGTATATGCAAATGACAGGCTGCAAAATAAGGTGTTGATTTGCTTTATTTGTATGATATATGTTAGGGGTGGGCTGTTTACCCAACACTACTGATGTTTTGGTGGTTCTTACTATGTCTACTATGATATATACCTAATTTCCATTACAAACAAACATTTATTTCTTAATTAGTTTTTGGATATACATACTGTTTTGCCTTGTGGTCCCGACTCGCCAAGAGGACCTGGACGCCCTTTATGGCCCTTACAATAAAAGAATATTGTATTATAATACAATTTCTCCTTAGCTCGTATGGTTTAACATATATGATAGTAAACATTTAATGGAGGAAACAAAAACATAAAAAGATACCACCTATCAAATTAACATCCATGAATATATAAAAACCTGGTTGAGATATTTCTGATTGCTGGTTACTGTTAGCAAGCTAATTAGCAAGTTCAGTCTGTTAAGACCACTTTAACACTGATTTATTTTTATTTTTTATAAAAAAAGGCTTAACATTTCAAATATTTGCACATGTAGAGAAATGATAGTGAATTTAATTTCAATTCAGTCACATTCCACACAGGGGGTTGTTACCACAGGTAAAAAGTAGAGTAATCATTTTATACAGCTATTCCAAAAGATAGCTCACTATCAGAAATAGTGTGTATCAGTAATACACTGACCAAACAATTGATAATGCCATGCTGAAGCATGGTGAGGCACATCTTTCTACTTTACATATAAATCAATAAATAGGCACACTTCTATGAATAAAAAAGTATATATAATTTACAGAGATACTTACCTTTACTCCCTGCAGTCCTTGAGGTCCCTTAGGGCCAGCTGGACAGTTTGTTGGACACTAAAAAAATTAATTAAAAAAATACAATGAAATGTCTTTGCAAATGTATATTTTTTAAGGTTCTAAAAACACACCAGGTACCATATGGATCTAGTGGATCTCCATTAGAAGGCTAACAATTATTTTATTAGTTCTTGCAGCAGACTAGCTCTCTTAAGATATTGACTGACATTAGATGATCATTGACTGATCTAGTTGAGCTGGATCGTAAAATCGCTATATGATGAAGGCATGGTTACCAGCTGTATTGGAAAATGACTATATGTTCAAGGCCTACTTGCCAGCTCATCTCTAAATATTAACTAAACTCTTTGGCTAACTGGTTTCCATCAGTCCTTTAACTGTATGTAATCAACCTAAAAGCCTGTGTAACTTATTTGTTACAGCAATTAAAAGTATAAGCTTGTGTACTTAGTCTATGAGCAATGTACAACATTTACAGACTTCTCCTGGTCTTAGTGGGAAGAATGAGAAGTGCAGGATAGATTTTCCCAGTGGACTGCTATTGTTCCTTGCAGATAAGGCTGGTGCTAGTGTTGTCGGCATGAATGGACAGCATCGGTGTGCATGTTTATGCCATAATTGTCTGGTTGTCTACCTTTAGGCCTGGTTCACACCTGGGCATTTTACAGCGCGTTCCTACGCTCTCTAAAATGCTCAACATGTGAAAACCAATGATTGCCTATGAGCATGGTTCCCACCTGGGCGTTTTACAGCGCGTAGGAACGTGCTGCAAAACGCGCTGCAAAATGCCCTACGCCCAAAGAAGTACAGGAGCTTCGCGTGTATCCATTGGGATACAGCCAGGTAGCCCTCAGAAACGCGCGTTTGTCGCACATTTTTTTTAGCGCGAATCGCTGTAAAAAACGTGTGACAAACGCGCATATTCGATACACCTAGGTGTGAACCCAGCCTTAGATTGTATTTCGCATCTATGGGTATCTTTAGAACTTCTCAGTACAGTAGCAGTTCTCTACTCTGTTTAGTTCAGGCTCAGATACCATATCCCTCATACAGAGCCAGCAAGGGGATAGAGGTCTAATAGTCTTGCTTAATAGCCTGCAAAAATCACTCCCACAATGCTTTTTGCATTAATATGCCAGACACCAATAAAATAACTACTATGACTAGATGGTGTAGCAAGCCTTGTGTAGAGGGTTGACATGTTTTCTTTGCAGATAACGCAATCAAATTCTTTAATATAGTTTTCAGACAGCAGTAAACATATTTCAATAAAATCGGTTACCACCATTAGGAAGTACTGCTCTATCCCAGCTGGTTTTTTACTATTTATCTGGGTATATAATACATTTCCACATCAATACGCCTGAAATAAATTAATTGTTAAAATGCAGGGAGATAGCTAGAGACTGGCTTGAACTGTAAAAATATTTGGTGACCCTGGTCCACATAGAGTTGACTAAATAACCCCACATGAGCACTTACCAGGAAATCAGCACTGCCTTCTAGGCCTTGTATGTTCCCCGAGGGGCCCTGAAATACAAAAGATTGAGTCCTCACACTAGATTTTACTTACTCTGTTTGCTAGCCAAATCCAATGTGAAACATACTACTATCTTAGCAGCTATTTTTGCAGCTTGCTCGTAAATTCCCATAATTAGATAGACTCAGCATTTACTGTTCATTGTTCGATTTAAGAACTGTACAGGGACAGTGTGTTACACAGACAATACAGAGTGTTATAGCTCATAGGAGAGAAAAGAGAAAGTACATGATAATGCATTTCACATAATGTATGTCAATGCAAATAGCAAAATACAGAAGGGAAGACTTCAGACAGAAAATAAGCTTCTCTGGAACAAAGTGATCATACCCTGGAGCTTCAGAGAAATAAGCTAAAATAAGTCTCTATGGAAGTCATGCATTAATGGCAAATTCAGCAACTAATTTCCCCCACACAAGCAGTGAATTATAATGGCAGTCAGGCAAAACCAAAACAACCTAAAGGATAGTTTTAGAGTAGACGTTTATATTGTGAACATGCTGAAAGTATACTGAAGAAAAAAGCCTAGGACATAGCATATTCATATTATAAATATGCAAGCAGTGGAATGTAGCAAAAGGTATTTTTGGTAAGTTGACAAAAGGTGCATTCTACATAGGTATTGTCAGGTAAAGTTCACTTGCATGTGATAGTGGGAAATATATAAAGCTGTCCCACATTTCCCATTTTGCAAACGCAACAGCCTTTTATTTTTACTATATAGTAGAGAGTATAACGCTCATAAAGTTAAACATTTATTGCTCCGCATGTGACTGCAGCTTTGGTTCAAGAGATTTTCCATCATACTTATTTGTGAATAACCAATGGCATCAAGTACAGGATCATCAAATACATTTGATGCCATAGAACAGCATATCCGCTGTGATGTGTCCTGCTGATTATAGCATAATTTCCAAGCTTGAGAAAGCTGGTGTGCCCTTGTGTTTTTCAAAGTGTGTAGCAAAGCAGAGCCATACTGTTTGTGCTTGACAAAATCTTTGTGACCTAAAGGTAAATGGCAATTCTTCAATGCCTGCCTAAGTGCATCAAAGCAATAATGGCCAGCATCAAGGTGTATGTGTTTCACATGAGTCTTTACAATTGATTCTGCATTCCAAAAGAAAAAAGAACCATTTTTACATTGTGCATGTTTAAGAACAAATGCACATCATTATTGCAATGGGCATATGTATAAGTATATTTTCAAAGGCTCCTTTGAATTGCAGCTTTTGATTTTTTAGGAAGGGACCTAATATCTACTAGTGTACAGTATTCATACAGGATACACCAGAGCCAGTAGGAACCAATACCACCCGATTCAGCTACTCAAGAGACAATATTATACCAAAGTCAGCAAGAACATGTTATCTATTTTATGTGCAGGAGCCAGTGTCTTGAACACTATGGGGTCTATTCACTAAGCTGCCGAAGGATCTAGCCTTAGCTACGGCCCTAGGACCCCTTCAGTTCAGTAGAACCGAAGGGCTGCTGTACGGGCTATTCACTATAGCCCTACAGCTCCCGAAGCCGGCCGAGCGGCTCAGTCGAGCCGAAGGCATATGCATCGGCTCGACTGAGCCGAGGTGAAAGGCGAAGCTGGCTGAAAGCCTGCTACGAACTGCTGGGCGGAGCCAGCCATCATCTCACGGCTGGCTCCGGCCACTTGCACAGGCAGATCAGCGTCCCTGGTTACCAGATATCCAGGGACACTGATCTCCAGATAGCCCAACTCTCCCGGCCGCCCGGGAGAGAGATACTTTCCGCCCGGAAAGTTTTACTCTGCTCGATCAAGCAGAGTAAACCTTTCTCTGCTCTGTTGTCTTTTTTTCTTCTGATATCGGAGCCGTTGGCTGCCATCAGAACAAAAAAAAATAAGCATAGGAATGCATAGCTGCATTCCTATTGGCTATTTCAATTTGCAATAACCAATAGCAAACTAGCTATTGCACCCGCCCACTGCTGCTGTCAATCAGCAGAGTGGACCTGCAGTTCTCTATCAGGTCCCCTCTAGTGATTGACAGCAGCAGAGGGCGGGTGCAATAGTTAGTTTGCTATTGGCTATTGCAAATTAAAATAGCCAATAGGAATGTAGCAATGCATTCCTATGTTTATTTTTTTCTCTGTTCTGTTCTGATGGCAGCCAACGGCTCCGATATCAGAAAAAAAAAAAAAGACAACAGAGCAGGCAAAGGTATACTCTGCTCGATCGAGCAGAGTAAAACTTTCCGGGAGAGTTTTTTTTTTTTTTACTGCAGCAGAAAATCCCAGCCAATAGAAAACAGTTGGGTGGGGCTAGCTGTCACTGCTAGCTCCGCCCCATTCATTTTCTATTCTTTTTCTACTTTTTAAACTATTTTTCTATTCTGGTCGATACCACAGAATTATCGAACAGGATTGCCGAGCCGAATGCCGCTCGGCGGCATTCAGCTATTCACTCACTGCTGTTCGGCATCTATGAGAATAGGCCGAACAGCAGCGAGCAGCCTGCCGGAGGTTCGGCTCAGCCGATCCAGATGTTGGATCAGCTGAGTCGAACTCCTTCTGCACTTCGGGTCGGCCGAACATGCTGGGTATGTTCGGCCGACCCAAAGCCATGCGAAGCCGTACAAGCCTGAAGTGAATAGCCGAACAGTGTTCGGCTCACTTCACTTGGGGTCGGTTGTTCACTCGGCTGCCCTCGGCAGCTTAGTGAATAGACCCCTAAATTGGAACCTAAAGGGAAAGTATAGTGATTTTATACATAATGGGGTATAGATTTTCACTTTCAAAGTGAATTTTTCCCTAGCTTAGTGAATGAGGTGAAAAATCACATTGCAAAGAATACTCTATCAAGGAAAATGAAAAAAAAAAACGCATTTTTGCTCACACATGATTATATGATGAAAGTAAGCCCACCTTCACCTCATCCACCATTTTCTCTTTGAAAATAGAAAACTCACTTTGCTTACAGAGTTATTTACAAAGCTGCCAAGTGAACAACTGAGCCGAAGTGAACAGAGCCGAATGACGTTTGGCTATTCACTCCGGCTCAGTACAGCTGATTTCAGCCGTACATCAGTTGAAATCAGCCGTATATCGGCTGCCTTCAGTCAGCCAAACATGCTCTCCATGTTCGGCTGAGCTGAAGTGCAGAGGGATTTCGACTCAGCCGATCCAACATCTGGATTGGCTGAGCCAAAGCTCCGGCTGCTCACTCGCTGACATTTGCTCCTATTCTCGGCATTCGGCACGGCTATTCTGCTCGGTACCTCAGAGGTAGCAGGTCGCAGCCAATGAATAACACCTGGGCGGAGTCGGCCGTGACGTCCCAGGTGTTACTCATTCAGATCAGCATCCCCAGGTCATTTGGGGACGCTGATATGTCATTACAACTGGATGGAGCAAGCCGTGAGATCACGACTGGCTCCGCCCAGCTGTCATTTGCATGGAGACCGGTTGGCCGACCTTTCTCCACGCTTCGGCTGTCACTTCGGCTCAGTCGAGCCAAAGCGTATGCCTTCGGCTCGGCTGAGCCGCTCGGCTGCCTTACGCTGCTGTACGGGATATTGTGAATAGCCAATGAACAGAGGCGGCCGAAGAGACCCGAAGGATCAGCCAAACCTACGACTGTATCCTTCGGCTCCATAGTGAATAACCCCCTTAGTGAATGAAGTAAAGTTTTTCTGACAAGTAAAAATCCCCTTTTTTCATTTTCTTTGCATGTGATTGCGCCTTTGCTGAAGAAAGCCCATTGTTTACAGATCTGTAAAAAGTCACTGACCAGACAACTCCATATGAGGTTTCTTTCAAACAAAGTGAGCTACAAAGAAAGGTTCTCTGCTATGTTGTCATTTTAAAAACCTGAAGTTAACAATACACCTACAACTCCTACATTTAGACACATATAATCTGGGCTCCTTAGTAATTTTATGTTAAGTTAACGATATCCATAAGAGGGGGAGATCATTTTTTTAAAATCTGCACATACAGAATTTTTTTATTTTCCTGTTTTCCTATGGTACACAGTCTGTGAAGGTTCTCATTCTTCTAGGTCATGGTATAACTCTAAAAAATAAATCTAGGCAACTGGACTTACACAATTACTTGTTATTCACAAATATTTTTAAAATGATACAGATACGTACAGGTTTTCCAGGTAGTCCAGGTGGTCCACCAGGCCCAGCGGGTCCTCTCTCACCCTTAAGGAAAAGGAAACAAAGTCCACATTAGGTACAATCAGAGTACAATGTAGAATTTTCAAACTATTCTGTTATGATATTCACAACTGCATTACAGTACCTACTGGATATTTCCTCGTCAGGACACATTGGTACTGCTTACATTAACAGAAAAGTAAGTGATATAATGCTGATAATTATTTTAATTTGTCTCATAATGTGCTGTACTCATTGTAATTGTGGAAAGAGATGTCATACAATAAGCAATAGAGCCTCCTAGGGCATATTGCCATTTGAAGTACAAAATACTGTAGAAAATCTGGCTAAAGTACGTAGGGATTTATTATGAAAGCAACACAGAAGGGTCAATATTGCCCTTAAAAAAATGGCTTAACGCTGCTCATAGAGCGTGTGCTTATTTTAAGATTTATGTGCTCTTAAGTCAAATAGATAAAAATGTTGCAAAAGGGGCAACTGATTAGTTGTTGTTTCCATGCTGGCATTCACCTTTTGCACCAGGCCACCTAGTTAGGTAATTTCTTTCAGTTAGCCATGTCTTCTGAAAGCACTGCAATCTTCGTGGGATCTAATGCAGGCAAGTGTGTTTTATTGTTAAAATAGTAGCCTATCTCTGTGGCCATGTCCCCACATTGGATAATGAGAGGGAGATTGCATTGACAGAATTATGGTAAAAGCTGCAGTCTGAGCCATAATTCTTGCAGTGAACATGCTAAATGTGGCTGCTCTAGAATTTATCAAAACTGGAGCAGACAGAATCTGGAGAAATTGCCCATTGCAACCATTCGCCTTCTCTCTTCAGTTTGTTCAGTTAGGCTTTGAAAATTAAAGTTAGAAGCTGATTGGCAACTGCTCCAGATTCTGTCTGCTCCAGTTTTTATAAATTCCCCTCAAAGTGCTCTAAACAGATTTTACTTTTTGCTTGGAGCTGTTCTTCAGCATGACATGAAGATGAGGGTGGCAGTTAAAGTGACATTAGAGGCTATTTTTTTCCCCTCCCCCCAATGTTAGTGTAGTGACTTACCCGAAATCATGCCTCTTAATCCGATCATCATCTTCTTCTTTAGTGTAGTTCTCAGCTGTCCCTCCAGTGCTGGTGTGGGTCTCCGACTCCTCTGTCCTCCTCTTCTCTCATGTCCCACGGTGTCTGTGCGGGTGCACGCTGCTCCATATATTTACCTTGTGTCTCCTGGCCGAACATCTGAACTGCGTATTCGCCCGCCCCAAGATCCTTTGCGGCCGCACGATTAATTTTAAGATGTTCGGACGGGAGCGCACGGCGGAGACACAGGTAAGTATTAACCCTTTGAAAACGTTTTTTTTTAAATTGTTTTGCCTATATCTACTGCTTGCTAGCACTACATATATGCAGAAACATGCAAGGGTTTTGTAACCCTTTAAGGAACAGACAGGAATATAGAAGGAATTCTATTCTTAATATCCTGTACACATAAAAAAAGGTTTCATGCAAGTTTTCATTCTTTGTGGCAAGCCCCTTGACACTAACACTGTTCTGTTAACACACAATTTGCTACCCTGTTTACTCAAATGTAATGTGGTTTCCAAGCATTTATAATGCATGGGAACCACCACACCAGAGTAATTAGGTCATAAAAGCTTGCCTTGGGTTATATGTTTGCCAGCCAAACATTTTGCTACTGTATGATTAAAATGTTCTTCTGTTTTAGGAAAACCCAACCATAAAAACCTGAACTTGATTAGTTATTTGTAATTAGAGCAACTTTAAGGCTACATTTACACTAGTTGCGAATAGATGCGTTTATATGTGTTTTAATTTGTTTTCTAAATGCATATATATACATCTAATTATTTCCAATGGAGCTATTCACATGTTGCATTTAGATAGTGTTATCTGCAGTTAGATAGCTGTGTTTAGACAAAAATAGAAGCCAGGTGCGTCCATGTATTCATTTGAACTTCAAAATGCACCAGATGCGTTTATTTGCTGAAATCTTATTGGCTATTTAGTTACACTTTCAATAGACAAAGGACAAATTTATCTAAACACATATGTGTGTAAACAAAACGCAAGTGTGAATGAAGCCTAAGTTGTCTACCTCAGCCCAGGTCACTACAGTTAGGAGTAGACAGTTGAACAAGCAACTGGACTGGTGTTCTTAGAAAGTCCCTATACAAACCACTGTAAGAATGTTAAAACAAAACAGGTTATGATCAGCTCTGGAGAAAGTCTTCGATCCTTATCTATGGGGGTTACTTGTCTGGCTTATCCCTAGAAGAAGTCTGATGAGGCTTGGGCACGCACTGTATTGACACCAATGAGCACTGGTGATCTTTGAAGAGGTTATAGTTGTTATTATTATGGGGCTATCCAAGCATCATTGTCAACATAAAATATCCTACCTTTGCTCCTGTGACTCCAATTTCTCCAGGAAGTCCAACTTGGCCTGGGCTACCCTGCATTAAGATTGGGTATTTTAAACCTTGTTTTTATTTATCATGCATTTTATGAATTTATTAATAATAAATTAAATACAGCAGAATACAAAACACTTAAAACAATAAACCACTTACAGGAAGTCCAGCGACACCAGGACCCTATTAAGAGAAAGAAACAAATGTTTATAATTATGCTAACAAAGCAGACAAAAAATGGGTGATGTAAAGTAATCATACTCACTGGCTTTCCTGGAGGCCCTGGCAGTCCTGGTTGACCCTATAAAATAATAGTTCCAAGTATGTATTAACATAAAAAGAAGATGTGGTTTGTTTTCTAAACAGACATATTTATCACAGTAGATAAGGTGAAGATAATACTTAGGGCCAATTCACACATGCCACTGTGCTAAATGCACAGCGGCATATGTACAGATGCGCCAATCCCAGTGCATCAGACTGTGTACTTTTTTTTTTTTGGAGGAAATTTATTGAAATGTCACAATTGACATTTCATTTAGTTCAATGGGCACAGTGGGGTGCCATACTTTTTTTTCAGTGTACACCACTGTGTTCCCATCGCAATGTGGTGGTTTGAACTGAGCCCATCCGTGACAAGGTAAATTGCCTTGTCTTGCATTGGGGCTGCGCTGGAAACAACAGCCATCGCAGCTCCAATGCACGTGGTGTGCATTGGCCCTTAAAGTGTATGTAAAACAATATTGTTTTTTTAGTTTTGGATAATTACACCAGCAGCAGTAAATATCCTGTGGTTTTTGCATATTTTTTAAAATATATTTAGGTCTAAAAACTAAAATATACAAATATATTACTAGTCAGGTAAAAATGAAATGCATATTAATTTGCTGTATTTTGTTAGCCAGCTGGTTTAGCTTTCTGCTCTTTTTACACATTTTCTTCTATCTTTAGGATAGCCTATAATAAGCCACTTGTTCACAGACCACAATTGCACAAGGTGAAAGTTACATACATAAGCGAATAGTGGCTCAGTCAGACAAATCCTGCAGCAAGGCAGGCTTCTTCTGTGTGTCGTCTCTTTAGCCAAATTCTGTGTGCTATTTCTATTTTATTTTTTTGCTTGGGTAACGTCATCTAAAATTTTAATTAACTGTGGGGTTTATTCACAAAGCAGCCGAAGGATCTAGCCGTAGCTTCGGCCGATCCTTCGGCTAGCTTCGGCCCCAGGACCCCTTCAGTTCAGTAGAACCGAAGGGCTGCTGTACGGGCTATTCACAATAGCCCGTACAGCTCCCAAACTTAGCTGAGCGGCTCAGTCGAGCTGAAGGCATATGCCTCGGCTCGGCTGAGCCAAGTTGAAAGCCGAAGACAGCCGGCTTCTTGGAGAGTTTTCTTTTTTATTGACAGCAGCAGAACCACTGAAAAGAGAAAACAGTTGGGCGGAGCTAGCTGTCATTGCTAGCTCCGCACAATCGTTTTTTTTTCACAATTCTATTTTTTTTTCTACTTTTCTAACTATTTTTCTGTTCTGCTCAGTCCCTCTGAGGGACCGAGCAGAACAGCCGAGCCGAATGCCGCACAGCTGCATTCGGCTATTCACTCACTGCTGTTCGGCATCTATAAGAATAGACCGAACAACAGCGAGTAGCCTGCCGGAGGTTCGACCCGAAGCCACGTGAAGCCACCCGATGTACGGCTGATTTCAGCCGATATATACAGCTGAAATCAGCCGCACCAGCCTGAAGGGAATAGCCGAACAGTGTTCGGCTCCCTTCACTTCAGGTCGCTCTTTCACTCGGCTGCCTACGGCAGCTTAGTGAATAGACCCCTGTGTGTATTTAGTGTGTAATTAATTCACTGGTCTAGATGCACTAACAGGGCTATTCACAAAAGGGTGATGAGTTTGGAGAAGGCAGGAGAAGTGAGCAATCTAGGACAACAAAGCTGAACTGGAAAGTGAGCTGCATTGGATAATTTTTTCAAATCAGCTATTTTGGCCTAGATTGTTCACATCTCTTGCCTTCTCCAAACTCTTCACCCTTTTGTGAATAACCCTTTAAATAGCTTATCTCCGAAATGTATTTGCTTTCAATGCAGTACTACAAATCACCATATGCACTATACTGTATTACTAAATTATATCCTATGCTCATAAAAACAATACCAATCCCTAATCAATAAAGGCTTGATTGTATATCTAAAGGACAGGATTCTTTTCAGCTCCAAAACACTATGATGTACACTGGTGCTCACCCCTGTCACTTCTATGCGTTTCCTAATTGGATGTAGAAAAACATGACATTTTAATCAGTGATATGAAGCCCCACTCCCCTTCCTCATTTTTTTCACATATGGTGGGTACAGAAATCTGCCCTGTCATAACATACAGTATATACCTGATGGGCAAGTGTAGGAACTGGCACTATCGAAAGAAAATAGAAAATCCATTTTATACCTGTGCGCCAGTGTCAATTGAATAAGATGTATAACCTGATGTCAACAAGTGCGATAATACTGTACTAATAAGGAAAGAACAAATAGCACTTACAATATATATATAGTAACACTTACTTTGACACCTAGTCGTCCTGAAGGTCCTGGATCTCCCTTGGCTCCTATTAATCCCTGATGGAAGAGATGATAGTTCTTACATTTGCCATATTGTGACTGATTCTGCAATGTAATGTGACAAATCAGATATTACAAAATTTACAAGAAAGGTTTATTGCAACATAGTACATGATATTAACTAAAAACACAGCCAAGTATACCTGAAATGGTAAATGGTATATTTCATTTCATCTGAAGCTAATGTAACATTATTATCACACATGCCAGCTTTTATAACTGGCAGGTGCATTTTAAGTCTCTGCATGAATGGGTCCAGCACTAAAATAGCACCCCCAGCTCCAGACTTCTGGCTTTTAAAAGTATTTAAAGGGTAATAATTGGGGTAGAATTAGGAAGAGGACTGCCAGGCACAGAAATATTATTACATGTTGCTACTTTCTCAGGCATGGGGCAGTGGGCAGCACTAAAGCCAGTTCTCTCGTTAATCAGAAAAGCAGCCGAAGCACAGAAAATATTCTGGTGATGTCATTGCTTGCTAGTGAAAATTACAAAATGTATGGTCAGCCTAATAGCTTGTAACAAGTAAATAGTAGAGGTAGCTATGCAAGAAATACACTGTCATTCAATGACAGAACTCTCTTGACGAGACTGGTAAAGATAAGCCAGCATTGTGAAATTCAATGCTACCCTATGGTCTGTTGATTGCCTAATATGTGCTGAATGGTGTATATGCATTCTGAGTAATTAGCAAATCATTGAATATATGCTAAGTAATGACCAAATAAATACACCCCCTATGCCAAATGGTCAAATGGCTTTGGCCCACCACCATTATTTTTAGTTGGAGGAATGGGCAGGATTCATTACTATATGTAACTATTTAAATCTTTTCTGTCAATGCGAAATCTTTAGTTAAGACCCGCAAGGGAACTATGCCTAAAAGTGGTTTGTAACATTTCCAGATTTTGCCAGAACTGAAGATAATTGAAGTTGAATTTGTTCAGCGAGGTAAGCAATATTCCAGCACACTCCTGATTTCCTGTTATACAGAACAATACAAGGCTATTAAAGGACACAGCAAGCAGCCATCCAAAACTGGGAAGCAGAGAACAAAATAAAATTACTTTAACCCAGCTTGTGTAACTAAAGTTCATAAAATGTAATTACAGAAGATATTTTCAGCATCACTGTGTTCCCACATACAGTAGATTTGTGCGTCCTGTTTTCATTAAATCTTTTTTCTTTTGTGAGAGCTTACAATCTAATACTACGTGATTTATCAAACTCCAAATGCGTTTCAGCCCTGTATAACAAATACTATTAAGAAAAAAGGTCTTTGCTTATGCCAAAAGGTGTTTATTTTAAATATTTAGCATATATCTGGTGAGGGGAAAAATATGTCAGATTAAAAGCATTACCCTTAAAGGGATATTAAACCTTTGTTGGGCCTTTTTACTTTTTATGAAGAGAAAGCCCATACATTTTGCAGTTCTTCTTCATTAAATAGTTTTTCTAGAATGTCCTCCAGTTGTTCTCCAAACCACTCATCTCCCCCCTCTTGTTGCGGGTGTCTCCTTCCATGTCTGGGTGGGCTCCATAGACACACACAGCCTGCTGCAAGCCACACCCCTTCTCCCTCCACCACTCAGTCTGACTGACGGCAGAAGGAGCCTATGGCTCCTTTGCTCTCGGTACCCTACCCCACAACCAGGAAGTTTGGGGAACGGCGATATCTTCCCCAATCTGGCGGAGGTGACAAGCGACCAGAGGTAAGTATTTGGGGACAGGGTGACATTAAAAGGTGCTGAGTGTTTTTTACTGTAATGCAGAGAATGGGTTAAGGTAAAAAACACTTAGCCCTTAGTACTACTTAAGAGGTTGCTTGAGCAGTGGCAAAATTGATCTCCCTTCATGAATGATCACCAGTGTAAAGGGGTAATTTCCCACTGACATCAAACATCCCTTCTATACTAATTGCCCATAGTAGTGGGCTTTTTTCCACCACAACTTCCACCACTAATATAAAGAGGCATTTCCTGTGTTGAACATCAATGTATTAGGGCACTACTCCACTGATGACTTGTGTAAGTGGATACTACAATTTACACTCCGTGTCTTATCTGGGCATTAGCATAATTTGTTTCATTTTATGATTATTATTGTTGTACAGAGCAGGGGGTGTTCCAATATAATCTGCTCTGGGTGTCAAATACTTTAGGCATGCCAAGTTATTTATTTTCTTATTTTAAACTTTATACAACTTACTGATTATCCTAATGTACAGTGAACTTTAACTATGATAATTTTTAGAAAGAATTCTGATTTTTTTTAAGGGTTCCTCCAGGGTAAACGCTTTGAGAAAGGCTCAACTAGGCTCCGTTACTGGAGTCATTTTGCTTACACACATAGATTTACACAGGTGAGCATTTATACACATTGCTCGGTGCTTTTCACTATCCTGCAGCTTGCTTTTTATTTAGCACTAAAGTTTACAATCACAGTTACAAATTTTCCAATATGTACATAATTAAAACTTTAATGAGGTAGTTAGCATACATTTCTGTGTATAATTGAGCAAGCTGCACATATTGAAATTGAAAAGTTCCTGTCTGGCTCTTTGTGAATCTCTCCCACATTTTTAAAGCGTCACTATATTACCATGTATGCATTCTAGAGGCAGAAGAAGGTGGAGGCAAAGAAAAAGCAGGCCCTGTCTACACTTACAATAATAACCTAAGCTATTTAAAAGAAAATAGATAGTGTTTTGTATGCTTTTTTTATTTATTTATGCGAGCTGGAATGTTGGCTACTTTACAACACACACAAGGACCATGGGAAACAACAGTAACCACCCTCCAGAAGGAAAAACTGTGTTAGTATGAATTCAGAGATAATTTGTGGATCTACAGCTGAATGATGCATAAATAAGCAATTGTACCCGCCCCGTCCGTTCCGTCAGTCAGCGCTGGTGGATTGGAGCGGGAGGGGGGAATCCAGCCCGTGACAGAGATCCGTGACAGGATCGCTCACCTCCCGATCTACTGAGCCGACCTATGACAGTCTCATTGTCACAGGTCGGCTAGAACTATGAGGTGAGTGAAAAGCACTCACCTCATAGTTCTCCTTTAATAGTAATTATTGGTAATAGAGTGCTTGAATGCATTTTTAAGATTTCACTTCTGAGTTTAGTGTCACTTTAAACAGGACTCTATATCCACTAAAGACCTTACACCTGTGTCAGATCATAGTGGGGAAAGCCATGAACAGTCACCTCCAATGATCATTTAAAAATGCAATGAGCTATGTCGCAAAGGCCTTTCAGAGAAAACCAGTGCAAAAATATGTGGACCTTTACCCTCTTTCACTAAAAATCACATCAGAATACAGCTCTGCATGCTGATATGAAATCACCTTACATTATTTAGTTAAACAAAAATATTTTTATTTTACTGGTCCAGTTTGGCACAAATGATGTAATAAGGCCTAAGCATTGCATCCTGAGTAGGTTACATCAGCAGAGCATTGCTGGAAAATCTCATCTGAGATCTCAAGGAAAGGCATTTTCCTCCCCTGAGATGATGTGCATGGTCACATGCCCTAGTCTCATGCCCCAGAGTTCCAGGAAGAAAAGGGACATATATTAATCTGCCCTTAACAAAAATGACTACTGTGAGAAGAATTGGGAGGAAAATAAATATAAGGTATGTAAAGAATGAAAAGCCTGCAATTATTTCGAAGTATGTGTTTGTACAGTGTCATTACTAAACATTTCTGAAGGTGTCTTTGTTGTTATTTTGAAGATATGTTCCTCTTTAAGAAATTATCTGAGGTCAACCAAAGAAAGCAGTCAGGATGTATATGACTTTAGATGACAAAAGCAGTCATTTGCAACTTAAGTGTTCTTTGACACGTTTAATGTAAAGGGAGAAGTATTGTCCTGTATGCTGCACACATGTACTGGCACGAACCACAGAAAAAACTGCTCCTGCTGAAGAATTCTTTATTGCAGACATAAAAGGAACTAAAGGAATTCATCTTCCTATAATCATTGAGTGTAGTCAAATACCAAATGATATAGAGGAGATTCTTACACCAGAAGATGGATGTTGTGTATACTTTGTTAATTTGACTGGAATATGGAGTTGTGCTTTTTTAAAGATAACGTTACCCTTATCTTCAAAATAACAACATCGACCCTGGTAGTTCCGCCAGTGAAAGGCACCTTTAGAAATGTTTAGTAATGGCAATCTACAAATATATACTTCTAGATAAATGCCGGGTTTTTGTTCTTTACATACCTTGTGTTTCTTTTCTCCTCCATTCTTCTCACAGTGGCCATGTTTACTAAAGGCAGATAAATGCATCTCCCTTTACTTCCTGGGACTCTGGCACTGTGACTAGGACATGAGGCCATACACATCATCTCAGGGGAGGAAAATGCCTTGTCCCTGAGATCTTGTGAGATTACAGATGACATTTTTCAGCAATGCTCTGCTGCTCCCAGGATGCAACGCTTGGGCACTTTAAATCAGTCATGCCAAAGAGAACCAGGAAGTAGAAAACAAGAAATTGTAAGTAAAGTGAAAATATGTTTGTTTATATGTTTGTTTAACTAATGAATGTAAGATGATTTCATATCACCATTCAGAGCTGCATGGTGATATGATTTTTAGCCAAAGAGGGTAAAGGTCCACTTTAATTGTTTTTGTGCACTCTGTTTTGATAGAATATTAACCATCTGTGGTTAACCATAAGTGGTTAAAACAAGCTCACAGTTGCAGTAGCAGTCGTGAGCTGGGTATAATTTTCTTTAGCGAGCTCCCAGCTATCCAGTGAAATTGATCCAGAGAGCCAGCCAATCACTTTTACTGGGCTGTAAATATGCCTCCCCTACCCCCATGGTTCTTGGGCTCTCCCACTCCTGTGCTCTGTAATCACTGAACATGAAAGGCTGGTGCTCTTAGCATTCAGCAACTACAGAGTTGCACACAGAGTGCCAGCTGCAACCTTGGGCTAGTTATATCATCGATAAAAGTACAGAACTGTAACATCCTGCAGAAAATCACGATGAAAGCTCTATAGACTAGACTTGTGCGCCGTCAAAAAATTTGTTCTGTTTCGTTTCGGAATATCCGTTATTTCGTATTTCGTAATTCGTAACTGAACTCAATTCGGATTCGTACGAAATACGAATTTTCGTTAGTGGCGGTTATATTTCCGTAACGTTACGAACATTCGTTATGATGAAGTTAAAAAGCAAAATACCTTTGTTAATATTGGAGTGGTAGTTGTTTTTTTTATCCGAAATACGAATTCCGTTAACGGATTCCGTATCCGAATTTCGGATTTAAAAAAAAATACCATCAACTCCAATATAAATGTACTTTGCTTTTTAACTTCAATATAAAACGAATGTTCGTAACGGAACGAAAATACGTCAACGGAATTTCGTATTTCCTGCCTGTATTTGTAATGCAACTCTCAGCAGCAGAAGAGAACCTCTGATTGGTCAACCAAAACGAAATACGAATTCCGTTAACGGATTCCGTATTCCGAATTCCGTATTTCGGATTTTAAAAAAAACTACCATCAACTCCAATATAAATGTACTTTGCTTTTTACCTTCAATATAACGAATGTTCGTAACGGAACGAAAATACGTCAACGGAATTTCGTATTTCCTGCCTGCTGAGGAAGCTTATCGGAGTCATCTACACCAATCATAACGCAAAAACATCCTTTTCCTCACAAGCTGGAAGCACAGCTTCTTACATATGGACTTGTCAAGAAGTTCCTTCAACTAGCTAGAGAGACTATCTTACTTTCACCCATGAGGAACTATGCAAGCTTTGCCACCAGTGGAAAAGTGACCTGATGACTTGATGAACTGTTCCATGTTCCAAGATGTGTTAAGTTCAGCGCACCAAAGACTCATTTGAGACTTCATCCTTCTCTTTTGGACTGTATATATTTTTCGTGCTTTCTCTTTTCTTTGTATATAATTTTACTTTCTACTACATAGGAGCATAGAGACATATGAGAGTTGTTGTCTTCTAGCATTTAGAATGTTTTGGTTTTTTTGAAGAGCCTAAGTTAGGTGTGGAGATTGGGGGGAACTGCCTGAGTCCTCGAGGTCAGCTTCAAACAAACTTGTAGCACGCTTCAGCAGCCTTTCAACAAATTGCAAGTATTGCTGAAGCTTATTGAGGCCTGCTAGCAGCTTGTTTAAAGTGACATTAAGCACCCCTTTTAATACATTTTGGCTGCAGTTATAATAACTAATGCATTTTGCCCTAATATAATAATTTGCTAATGGCCATTGGGATATAGTGCTTTACATATAATCAACATGTAAAAAAGAAATATTTACTTCAGTCTGTATTTCTACCATGTTTTTTATAACAATGAGCTATCTTTGTATGGCAGCTGTTTGTAAATGCACTTGAACTATATATAATTAATATTGCTTTGGACGTCACCTAGCTTGATCTACTCACATCAATTCCAGATTCACCAGGAGGACCATCTGGTCCAGGAGGGCCTGGTTCTCCTTTTGCACCCTGAAAGAATAAGATAAGTATACAATTTTATGCATAGTATTTAAAACAAAATGCACTGTTTCAAAAACTTTTTTAAACTGTTTTACAAATTTAACCTTGCAGTGGGGCTACACTCGCAATGCAAAGATTCAGTGCTTGTTTTGCTCTAGGGGATGGAATAAAGCAGACATACTCACTTGATCCTCAAACCAAGTTGCTAGACTGATCCACACAGCCATTTATCTCCTGGGCTGCGGTGGTCTAAGGACAGTTGATGTCATCATGTCTAATGCAGGTCCATTGGCTTGTATTAGACATGAAGACATTCGGGGGCTTTATTCCATCCCCTAGAGAAATATAACAACCTAACCCTTGTCTTGTGAGGGTAGCCCTACAGCAAGGGAAAGTTTTTTAAATTGTCTTCTTTAAAATATGTTTCAGCTAAATTATTAAAGAGAATATATTGTGTTTTTTACATATTTTCTTTATTTTGGTCAGGACTACATTTTTTTTTTTTTATCGATAGCTTGTTTTTTTTACTTAGTCAAGTATATGTGAAATGCTGCTTATGAATATTATGTATTCTTATATTCAGCCAGCAGATAGAGCTTTAAACTAATTTTTCCATGTTTTCAGGCTCACATTTTGTAAATGTCTGTTTCCACAGCTTAGCAGTACAAATCACAATTTGTACACACAAGCGAATGAATCAGAACAGTGAGTCAACTCAATCCCCTCTCCCCCTCCATCCTTACAGACCTATCTGAGATTTTAGTCAGACAGAGAAAGCCTGAAGGCAAGTGGCATTTATTTGCTGTGCAACCTCTTTAGAAAAGTTCCAAAAGTGCTCTGGGAATCCTTAGTTATGACATTAATATATATCTATATATGTAGATATATATATATTAGTGGTGCACCAAAATAGAAATTTTAAAACCGAAACGAAAACAAAACAAAAAAAATTGTCAGACCGAAAATGTTTTTATTTTAATTTGTTCAAATGTTTTAAATATTTTATGTTTATTTATTTTTTATTTATTAACTCATTTTTTATTTAAATATTTTTATTTTTTACTTTACTTTTAGGGGCTTTGGGGAAATATTGGGGGTCTAAAACAAACCCCTGATATTTCCCTTTTAAAATAGAAAAAGAGAATGAGGACACCTGCAGCCCCTGTTATCAATGAACAGGAATCCTCTATGAGTGTTCCTGTTCATTGATAACTTGAGAATATAGTATATTTACTATAACCACAATCATGAATGAACAAGAGGTGATGTAGATCACTCCCATTCATTCATAATTGAGGATATAGTAAACATACCATGTCCTCAATTATGTACAAACACTCAGCAATCACTGATCGCTGAGTGTTTGCTCTAGCTCTCCTCTCTGACACGCTGTCACAGGAGGCTGAGCGAGCTGTGTGCGAGGAGAACTCAGGCTCTTGTGGCAGCGCGGGCTGTCTCCGCCCCCACACCACTCTGCCGGACTGTGATAGGAGGCTGAGCGGTGTGGGAGGAGAGACACCAGCCTCTCACAGCGCTCTCCTCCCGCAGCGCTCGGCCGGCTGTCACTTTCTCTCCTCCCCGCTGGGACACAGCGCAGCAACCAGCGGGGAGGAAAGAAACCTGGGACGCACCGATGTATCAGCAGGAAACGGCACTTTCTGCATTTAGCCAAAAGTGCCATTTTTGGCCGATATTTTTTGGCGGTCGATATATCGATGCATCCCTTATATATTGTGTATATGTATATATATATCATAAGTTGAACAGTCAATACATGTAAACATTTGTTTTTGAACAAAACATTTTGTGTTTGAATTCTTATGTAGACTGTCTGTTAAACAAATGATTAAGCAATAAAAAATGAAATAATTCCCAAGTATGACAAAAAAAAATTGTGGACAGGATTTAATGAATGGTTTTCCTTTCTGTGTAGTTAGGGATTAGACCCTTAATTAGTACTCACCGCAGGACCAATTCCTGGAGGCCCTCTATCACCCTGCAAAAACAGAAACAGAGTTCAATTAGCAAACAATCTACTAATTCATCCTGATAGTTCTCACAGTAGAAAAAAAACATCATTTAGCCAAGAGTGAATGAAAACTTTCTGTTGAATTAAAACCAAAATGTGGCAAATTATAACAGTGATTTCAAAACTTAAATTTGTGCAAAAAAATGTATTTGCATTTTGTAATGACTGATGTTAAGATTATTTCCCCAAAAGGGTTATTTTAGTCTATCAAAGCAATATTTTCAAAGTAAAAGCATTTTTATTTTTAAACAGCTGTTGTAAATTAATTTCAATATTAAAAAGATCTGTCAATTTGATGCTACAGTGTAGGGTTGGTTTACCTTTGGGATTACCAGTTTGTTAAATCTGAACACCATTTGGATGAATAATTTCTAGTTATATTCCATGTTTGTGTATCCACACACCATGTGTCAGATTGGTAGCATGGATGTATAAACAAGACCTATAAAGTAAACAATATAACCTATGACTCTAAAATTAAAGGAAATACATTAAAAAGTCATCTAAATCTCATTAGCTGATAAGGAGGAACCATCTGTGCAATCAAGTCATACATTTCTGCCCTACGTAATTTAATTATTACAATGTAGGGTGACTTAAAAACCAAAAAGATGCTGTAGTCAAGAAAAGTGTTTATGGTAGTTAGCTGTATCAGCATTTTTTTGTGTAGCAAGTTTAAATTTATAGTTATCATTATGATGCTAAACTCCAATAAATGCCATATTTGATACAGTTTTGACAGACAAATAAGGGATAGCAGCTTTTCACTTTGCAAGCACAAGAAGTTGAAACACAAGTATTCCTGATGTGCCATCAACCAGTGGGCACCATCAGGCTCCATGATGTGATTCCATTGTACACAACCTCACTCAGTGGCTGAGTTTGAGTAGCTGCTGATGGGATGATTTTGAGATAAACCTGTCACAAGTCTAGGCAGTCCTACTGAGCACATAACGTTATTAGTGTAAGAAAATGTTCCCTTTTTTCTTCGGGACGCAGAAGCGATCTGGCGACAGGTAAGTCGCCAGGATCGCTTCTGTTGTAAAGCCGACAGTCGGCTCTACAAGTTTAAACAGAGTCCCCGGCGGCAAAAGTCACCGGGAGTCTGTTTAAACAGCCCCGATGCTGGCGACGTACACTGTACGTCGTCAGTCACGAAGGGGTTAACACATAAAAGCAAATAAAATGTGTTAAAAATAACATGTTTTGCCTGCACACATCACTGTGTGCAATAACATATTGTACACAGGCAGTCCTCGGGTTACAAACAAGATAGGGACTTTAGGTTTGTTCTTAAGTTGAATTTGTATATAATTTGGAAATGGTACATTTTTTAAGTGTAACACCAGACAAAAACAAAATTGGGGGTTTTGGATAACCCCCTGTAACGTTTGTTTTGCTGCGTGTGCCCCTGTTCAGATTTCACCTCACTTTCTGGGGTTGTCGTGCAAACAAGGATTGGTGATAAAGCTTCAGTGGAGACACCTTTTTCCCATGATAACTCTCACAGGAGTGAATTTCCCTTCCTATGGGTAGATTTCCTCACTTTCTGTTGTCTCAAGGACAGGAAGTGAGAATACATCTTTCTAATGAGGATACAGACAGCAGTAGAAAACTCACAATGACCAGGAAAAGGAGGCGGGCACGTCCAACAAGAGCCAACTTCCCGTAATGTACATACAGTACTAAGGACCAGACCCAAAAAGGCGGCCACTCTTCGTCAGCACGAGCGTGATAGTATTACAATTACCCCTGCTGTACAGTAATAGCCTCCGTTTGTAAGTATGAGTCGTATGTAAGTCGGATGTTTGTAACTCGGGGACTGTCTGTAATATCTATTATGATGAGCGATGTGAAGGTGTGGATAGGTCACTGACACATATTGCTTCTTGCAGTTCATCTTGAACTGAACCAGTGCTTTTCCAATGCAGGATGAAGGACCAAGGAATGGGTCTACCTAATTTATGCTACTCCAACAGCATATGCTTACCTTCCTTTTGCTCCCCCGCTGCTCTGTTCACCCACAGGGATAAAGGAAATCGTTGTGTTAGCAATAAGTCCCTGAAGCTGTAACTTACATAAGGCTATGGACTCCGCATGCGATAGCTCTGATTGGTTAAGCGCTGTTCAATGGGGTAAGCCACATGCTCTGGGTATTTCCTTTGGCACACATACATTGATGCATACATTTGTGCATGTAGGTTATAAGGATGAAGCGTGCTATAAGCGCATCTTGATGCATTTCCATAACAACGCATATTGACAGGGCGGTCCCTATAATATGGCAGCCTGAGCCTGTTGCCGCAGACAGCATCTCTTTGAGTCACGTGAAGGGGTGGCAGGCATAGCGGCATGTCGTGTGCCTGCCACCCACTTTCCGGCCAGAGGATCCCAGGTTGCTAAGAGCCGGGCGGGGAGATGTTTAAAGGGAATACAAATCACCCCACCCAGCTATTAGTAACATGGGATGCTCTGGCTGGCATCCCGCTTAGCTCCTGGCACCCGGTGACGTCACTGAACAGGAGCTGGGTGGGACTCCGTTAGTGTGTACAGGTACCCTCAGGTGGCAAAAAAATCTAGGGACACCTCTGTGTGTTGAAATTGTACTTTCCATTGATTTTAATAGAAAACACATATGCCAAAATTATATAAGTGTGCATGGGAGACAAACAATGGGGAACTGAGATAAAGGGGGTGATTTACTAACCTAAACACACGCACTCACCAGGTGCGTGTGATTTTCACACAGCAAAACGTATTTATCAACCACAAAGTCTCTAAAAGCATATTTCCACTAATGTCATATATGGAAAAATCATGCACATGATCCATATATAATGCTGCTTCACAGTTTAGACAAAAATGGTTAGCTCATTCATTTACATTCCTGCATTCATCAACGCAAGCAACACAATGTAGAGCTAATTTACACAACATCACCTTGCAATTCATGCTTGGCTTTGCACAACACACCTGCTGGGTGTGTACACACTACAAAGGTGTTTAGATTCCACTCATAGATCATGCTGGGAGGGAACACACTACAGAGGTGTATACATGTTCATGGTGTGTTTATAAGGTTAGTAAATCAACCCCAAAGTGTTGCTGATTTTCAAAGAAAAACCATTTGCATGCAATTGATCAATCAGGCACAAACTGGGAAACAATCACACACCATACAATTATATATGCAATTGCTTACTTTCAAGGATTGAATGCATTGGACCTTTATCTCACGAAAAAAAATTAATTACCACTGATGTGTAAGTAACACATTTTGGATACAGCTCTAAAAGATATCATCAAGTCATATTAGCATGTGCAATTTTTCTATCAAGTTAAATTGGCATGCTGTGTAATTATAACTCTCATATTGCGTTTTAGAGCAGGATTGCACAAAACATTTTCAAAAGCTGTGTTCCCACCTCTGAAGTGCCTCAAACTCCTTGCTGAGTTCTGATCTAAATTATAGCACAGTTTCATGTTCACAGTGAATCAATATCATATTTGAACATCAAGATCTGGATTAGTGGGAATATTCAGTAGCAGCAATTATGGCAGAATTTGAAACAGTATTTTCTTGTTTAGCGGTATTGTGTGCCTACTATTTTTTAAAATATTCTAAGATATGTTCCTTGGATGCCATGCATGGCCACCTCTCTGGTTTTTATGTGGTATGTGGGGTTGCCACCTGTCCAGGATTCACCCGGACAGTTCGGGTTTTGAATGCTGTGTTCGGGTTTCATGGCACCTGGAACCCGGACACAAGATGTCAGGCAGACAGGGGCAACCAAAATTAAGATAGGGGCTACTGGCCCACCACTGTAAATAGTCTTAACTGTGTTATTTACATATTAATGGGTGGTGCCCATTACATATGAATAAGCCACGACTCATTCTCCCAAAAAAATATGTCCGCATGTCGCTAGAGTGTTCGGGTTTCGCTTGAAGAAAAGGTTGCAACCCTAGTGGTATGAGTGGTACAGACAATGATTATTGATGGCAAAGTAGAAATAGACAGGAAACTAGCATTTTCAGCAATGGCTATCTGTGTGTCTCTGGCTTTATTATTTTGATTCACTGATCCATATCATAAACACAGCAAGTTAAAGTGATATTAAAGTCAGAATGTTTGTAGCTATTTCAAATCTTGATTAAATCACTTACAATGGGTGCTGCTCCTTAATGTTTAAACGTTTAACCCCTTCGTGACTGACGACGTACAGTGTACATCGCCAGCATCGGGGCTGTTTAAACAGACTCCCGGCGACTTTTGCCACCGGGAGTCTGTTTAAACTTGTAGAGCCGACTGTCGGCTTTACAACAGAAGCGATTCTGGCGACTTACCTATCGCCAGATCGCTTCTTTGTCCCGAAGAAGGGGTATAGGGTCTTGGCATTCAGAAAATATATAATGTGTGGGGGTTTTAAGTAATTTTCAGGCCTAAAATGTGGAATATAACATGGGTGCAAAAAATGAAAAAAGGCCTCAGTCATGAAGGGGTTAATTTGCTGCACAATCAGCTGGTTCCCTGAGCACTAGACCTGATATCCTGTTTTAGGGTGACTCCTTCTTTTGCAAGGCTCCTATGGAGCCACCCCTGTGTGCGCTAGTAAGTTGTATGTTCTCCTACAAATGCACAGGCAAGGCAAACCACTCCCTTGCGCCTTTCTCTTCTTTTCTACAAGCCAGTAGATGGATGGCTGTACTGGAGAGGAAGTTCAGGAAGCAAACCTGAAGAGTTGGAGCTAGCAATATGCAAACATGATGAAAGTAAGTGCATAAGAAGTTATTCAAAGAAATACCTTGCTGTGCAATGTATGGTTGTTTGATCTGGATTTCTTACTGAAAACAAATTTGAGAGTTTAATGCTACTTTAATTTACAGTGAAGTCAGTTCTGATATGCATTCTCAATTCTCCTCAGTGTCTCAAAAATAAATAAAGTAGATGGATTTGCATGACAACC